CAAACCCTCTCTCTCTCTCTACACTTCTTCTTCTTCTTCTTCTTCTTTTTCTAACAATAGAAGGACATATATAGGGAAACCAAAAGCCTATCTCTAGCTTAACTTCCTAATTAGATAAGATTCAAACTCCTAAGTATGATGAAACCCAAACTCCTAAGCATGATAGTTCTCTAACACTATCTAATTCTCATGAAGTTATACAAACAATTAAAAACACTATACCAATTTAGAGTTTGAATTGATACCCAACATATATATATATATATTATATGTTGTGCGCAGCGGAAATTTCGCCAGCACCTCCGGTGCGTAAGGTGCACAACAAGAGATTAGATCATAACGGAAATACTGTTTCACAAAGGAAACAAGAACCGAAAGCAAAATAACTCAACAAAGTGAGTATCAGCTCTTCCTCTCATCAGTTCTAGGAATGACTTGTCGAGGGAACCTACAAGCTATACAAATCACGGTAAGAACAAAAATTTTACGTGGTTCGGCAAATTGCCTACGTCCACGGGGCAAGGAGGGGGGAGATCTACTTTTTGAGGGAGAGAATACAATTAGGGTTTACAATCTCACAATTTAAACTCTCACACAAACTCTCAGATCACTCACACAAATACTCTCTCAAAAGGACAGCCGCACTCTCTGCGATTTCCTCTGTTGCACGTAGCCCAAAAATAATCTGCTGCTTTTACCCTTTGCACACCGCCCTTTGCAAAAAACCTTCTGTAGCAACGAAGCAGCCGCAATTTTTCTCCCTTTTCGTACTTGCATGCCCTAGCCTAGGTCAATTAAAAAAGGTCTATATATATGCACAAAGAACAATCGGGTGGGCCAATGATTGTCCAAGAAATTAACACGAAACCCTCAAGCTCATGGCCCCCACGCGATATCTCTTCACGCAGAAACTAAACGGCGTTCACATGCTTGCCTCCATCCTTTTTGCACTCGCCTGCTCACGTGGGTGGCCCCCATGTCTTCATAATTCTCCACCTCGGCGAAGTTTTCCCAAAACTGAGCCGACACCAAAGCAACCAAATGTCTCACTTGTTATGTCCAGTACGCCGTGAAACATTTCACGACAACGGACTCAATCCGAAACACGTCAGGAACCCGAATGAGAGTCCAAACAATCTCACCATCATCAAAATCAACTAATCCAAATCGGCTGTATCGTAAAGACTGCCTATGTATCCTCTTGCCTAAGGAATCAAGCCTATACGTAGTTCACCCAATGGCCTCCAAAGGCTTCAATCCACTAGAAGAGTTTGAAACCCTTCTCTAATATCATCAACTCTACGGCTGATAGCACCTCCAATGGCCCCAAACTGAAACAATCCAAACAACTCCACCTTAGATGAACCAATGACCATATCTAGACTCCATCTATCAGCAACACTCGAATCAATCAACCTATCAACTGCATCCGAATCAATATGATTCCTAATATATGTCACATCAGCTGGAATCCCAAATGATGCAGTATGATCTGGAGTCTTCACCTAACGTGGAGTAGCATCACTCTCCACCCGCTGTGATGTTCCAAAGATCTGATCACCACTCTCCAACTGCCGAGAGTCAAACGTGACATATCTGCTCAGAACAAAGTCAGAAGCCAATACCTGATAATCAAACACGCCTCTGACTCCCAAATATGCTATCGGATCAAATCTCATATTCACGATGTGACCAAGTGCAGGGTAGTCAAACATCCGACGTAACCCAAAATCTGAAGCAGCTCCACCAGATCCCATATCTCTACATACAGCAGTCGGCAACCTATACATAAGATGACCCAAATATGTCGTAGCCCGCACACCAATGCCAATGCTTGACATCAAACACCGATCCTCCTCTAGCAAGGAACAGCTCCCCAAATCTACTATCTCATCACGTCGCCTTAAACTTTCCACACCAATGAAGTGTCTCTTATTACCGTGAGCTCGGCACAAACGTAAGAAAGAACCCCTACCATAATTTGAACGTCGGGTTACCTTTTTACCAACGCACTTCCTCCATCTGTTATGAGATTCTAGGACTTCACACCAACGGGACTTGGTTGCAACCCACCAATGTATAGAGAAACCCCCCAACTGCGAAAACCACATACCTATTACCTCCCAATGATGCTCCCTTGGAAGGCCCCTAAATGCCTGAATGAACACCCCTCAGAAGACCCCTCGAATGATGGATAGAAGTGACAAACTCCACCTCGGTCTTCTTGCTCATACCAATGGGTTCACAGGACTTCAAACCGCAGGTCAAAACACTCCTCAACAACCTATGCACGGCATTACCAATCAAATAACCCATCATCAAACAACGCCACAGTCTAGCCGAATCTGATGAAGTCGTCATCTCTCTATCAATCGTTGTGCTTCCAAGCAAATAATACAAATTGCTCCTTCTGACTTCATCACAATTATGGACCCTAATGTGACCTTCAAACGTGCATCCACCAAGATCACCCTATGGCCTATAGCCTCTAAAGCTCCAAGTGAAATGATGTTCATCTTCAATTGTGGAATGAATCTTACATCATTCAACTCTCGCATCATCCCGTCACTCATCTTAATCCGAACGGTACCAATACCATCAATAGAGCATGCATGTCCATTACCCATGAGCACAACATCCTCTCTTTCCAACTCCTGAAAGCTAGAAAACAAATCCCTCCTAGGGCAAACGTGGTAAGAAGCTCCCGAATCGAATATCCACTCCATAGAATCGGCATCACAAACCGATGGTAGTACGGATAACGAATAGCCTAAAGAATCCGAATCTGAATTGTTGCCACTAGTCTTGACAACATTCACCTCTGAAGCTTGTACAGTTTCTCCTTATTCTTCTCAGCTCGATCTAACTTTGGGCAGTCAGCTTTTCAATGTTCATCCTCTTTACAAAAAGCACACTGATTCCTACGAATCCCACGATGTGTACCTCTAGATTGCGACCTCCTGTTTCGGTTTGAACCACGGCCATAAACTACTAATGCATCTCCCGATGCCTTCTCGAAGGGTTCATCGACACTCTTCCTCAACTCATAATTTACCAACGCTGAGGTCACCTCCTTGTAACTAACAGTAGTTCTTCCATTAATCATAGTTAGGACAAAAGTACCATAATCATCCTCAGGCAACGAACACAAAAGTAGCATCGCCTTGTCTTCATCCTTAACCATGATATCCACATTGGCCATACCTGAAAGTAGCTTCGTGAAATTGTTGACATGCTCCTTGATGGAAAATCCTCTCTTTATCTTGAATTGGTAAAATCTCTTCTTCAAGTGAAGCTGATTCTCAATGCTCTTAGTAAGATACTTTTCATTGAGTGTTTCCCACATCTTCTTCGCCGACGTCGCGTTCATCACATCATAAATAAAATCCGGCATCAAGCATAACCAAATAACTCCACACGTCCTACTATTCATCTTCTTCCAAATATTTTCTTCCATATCAGCAGGTTTCTCTTGCAACTCAAGAGTCTCTTCCAAGTTTTGAGCGTCCAACGTATCCATCACCTGGCACCTCTACAAACCGAAATTGATCTTTCCATCAAACTTCGGAACATCGATCTTCATGTTATTGATGCTCAAACTATGTATCGTTTTCGTAAGAGACGATCCCGATGTGCTTGTTTCACCCATGTTGTAGATCTAACTCTAAAAATAAGAATCCAACAGCGAATCCTTCGAACAAGCTCCCAAGTCTAACCCGGAGCTCTGATACCACTTGTTGTGCGCAGCGAAAATTTCGGCAGCACCTCCGGTGCACAAGGTGCACAACAAGAGATTAGATCACAACGAAAATCCTCTTTCACAAAGGAAACAAGAACCGAAAGCAAAATAACTCAACAAAGTGAGATATCAGCTCTTCCTCTCATCAGTTCTAGGACTGACTTGTCGAGGGAACCTACAAGCTATACAAATCATGGCAAGAACACAAATTTTACGTGGTTCGGCAAATTGCCTACGTCCACGGGGCAAGGAGGGGGAGATCTACTATTTGAGGGAGAGAATACAATTAGGGTTTACAATCTCATAATTTAAACCCTCACACAAACTCTCAGATCTCTTACACAAATACTCTCTCAAAAAGACAGCCGCACTCTCTGCAATTTCCTCTGTTGCACGCAACCCAAAAACAATCTGCTGCTTTTGCCCTTTGCACACCGCCCTTTGCACAAAACCCTTTGCAACAATGAAGCAACCGTAATTTTTCTCTCTTTTCGTACTTGCACGCCCTAGCCTAGGTCAATTAAAAAAGGTCTATATATATGCACAAAGAACAATCGGGTGGGCCAATGATTGTCCAAGAAATTAACACGAAACCCTCAAGCTTGTGGCCCCTACGCGATAGCTCTTCACGCGGAAACTAAACCGCTGTTTTTTTACTATAAAAAAAGATCAAATCTTTATCAACTAAGATTATAAACATATTAGTATAAACTATCTATTTAATTTGAACGAGCATAATTTCCAGGTAATTATGTTAAAAGCAGTCAGTTCGGTTCTTTCTGCTTGAAGCACTTAAAACCGAACCAAACCAAAGTTTTTTTTAAAACTAAACAGCTGGAAATCTAACTGTACATTCAGTTTAATCAGTTTGCACCCAACTATAACCCTTCTACCTACAACTTTTTCACTTATTCATAGATTATTGTCCTATCCTATAAGCATTTATAGTGGATTGATATGATCCTTTTGTTTTCGTTTTAATCTTTCTATTTTGTTGAAGCTTTTGGATTGATATGATCTTGCGAGATCCGAGATGTGATGAAGTTAATCTATACTACTTCTAAAAGATAAAACCATTGTTAAAACTTTTGCATGCCCATTTTGCCCCTCTCAACTTAATTATAATTTTATCCTATATTTCTATTCTATTCATTCTTATTTATTAACATTTTTAATTGTTATTACTAGTTTAATTAATTAAAACGCAAATCTTAAATAGCTATTACTGGCCAACCCCATTTCATCTGCCTCTTTTAATCAGTCTCAGCTCCGTCGCTTCACTCGCCCCCTTCCTCTTCATCTCCGATTCTTCCTTTTTTCAACAACTGAACCTCCCTCATCTCTCTAAATTCTTTCTTCTCTTTAAACCGTGCCCTTCAAGCTCCTGTTTTTGAATCTCATCTTTCTCTCAAGATATAAATCTTTTAGTCTTGCATTTCAAAATTTCGATTGAGGTTTTCAATTGCGGCTTCAATGGCGAGATCTGGCATCTGATTCCTCCATCGGGGATCAAGCCACGTCGTCTCCTCCAACAAGAAGAATTTCTCCACCTCCGCTCATTACGGGGATGCTCGTAAAATTCACTTTCTCATTTTCATTATGGTTAAGGTTTCAACTATTTTAAATTGTTTGATTTTTTCCTCCTTTGTTTCGTTAGATGAGACTGAGAAATGAGAGAAGATAACCTATGCTTGAATTGTTTCTTGCACTATACTTGCCTTCTATAATATCTCCTTTAGCCATCTTCACCTATGCTTGTGTATTATGCCAATTTTTGGTAATTATTTTGTCGTGGTTCTAAAAAACTGATCTTTCTATTGCAGTCTCACCCGTATTGCACATTTGTAACAGGGAGTTCCCATGGGGGCAAGACTTCTGATCTTTCTATTGCAGTCTCACCCGTATTGCACATTTGTAACAGGGAGTTCCCATGGGGGCAAGACTTGTGGTATCCTTTTCTCTTTTTCTTTTGCCTTGCACATTTGTAACAGGGAGTTCCCATGGGGGCAAGACTTGTGGTATCCTTTTCTCTTTTTCTTTTGCCCAACTATTATGACTATTTTGAAAGTTTGAGTAAAACCTTCACCAGTCCGAGACTCATGTAAGCTAAAGGAGATTTTTGCTATTGGTGTTGTTCTGGGTACTTTAATCGCTGTTATGACAGTAATTTTTTTCTGGCTTGCACGAGATACTGACTTCTTCTCGGTGAGTGATCCTAGAGGAACCATAGCTTCATAGCTATTATTTCTGCAATCATAGAAAAATATCATGGTATCTCAATAATTTGCAGCATATATGGTAGACCATAGAAATAGTGTGCCAGGATTTTTGTTCTAGGATTTTGCCTAACCTGCAGAATCCAAATGTAGGAATTTTCAAAGTCCTTGTATTATTCAAGTATTAAGTTTGATGTCTTCAATAATAATTCTTGAATCTTTTTACTTGCAGGACAATTTTGGACTAAGATCGATTAGAGAAGAGGATGAGCAGCTTATTGCAGCTTTGTATCTTCAATAGGTATACCATATGATATTACTCAAGCTTTTCTACTTATTTTGGATAGCTACATCGTAGATCACTATTTGTTCTTAGACCTCAACGTACCTACTTGTCACAATTCCCCAAACCATTGGAATTGGAAGCCTTTTTCGGCTAAATTCAAATTCTTAATTTTATTGCTTAGTTGGTCAGGCTTCATGCATATGCAAAACGACCTGGTTTGCTGATTATTAAATATCACTGCATACTATCGATGGTTTCTCACTAAATTTTTTATTTAAATATTTCCATTATATATTGAAACATTTATCAATTTGTCTTTGGATAAAGCATAAACTTGTATGGATTTGTGAAGAGACATCACTGATTTTCTTTTCTTTTTCTACAACTTGTCCTTTGGTTTTTCCAGATACGACAATTGTCGCAAAAGAGTGTGGAAATGTTATCAAGAACCATACAGCATGTTGTCATTCTATGAGCAAATATATTTCTCATTTGCAAAAGCAAAGTTTCATAACCAACCTACAAGCATTGGATTGTGCTGCCAAGCTTGGGCATGCATCAGTTGCAGAAGATAAATGTCAGCACCAACATTTATACATCCTGTCATATTACTCTAAAAGACTTTTCACTTCAAGGTTAGTTGCATAAATACTTGAGTTCAGGACTTCTCTAAATGTTCCTTGAGTTGGTGCATTTTCATGGGTAAGCTTGGGTTATTGATGATGATGATCAATGACCTCCATGTTGCTGTATAACTTTTTGTAATATATATATATTTTTATTTTTATGTATCTTGAATTGCAAGTGGCATACTAATAGACATTTCTTGCTGTTTTTCTCATGCTGGGATTGTTCCTCCATTGATAATCCAGTTGGCTCAAGGTAATGCATATCTTTGGCTACTTTCCAAAAGATTAATGACTAATTTTATTAACTAACTTAACAGGAAACCTCTTTTGATATCATAAATTATACTACATACTGCCCTAAAATTTTCAATTTTTAACAAGGAGTTTGATCTTGCTTATTAATTTCATTTAGTACATAATTTCAGAGTATGGATGCCTCTTGCCAAGTTTGCCTTCAGATGGAACTTTTGATCCTTCTGCAGGGATTAGTTTCATTTGTGATCTTAATGATAATATTGCTGCCCCTTGGCCTTCTGCATCACTGGCACCTTCATCTTCCTGCAATAAGAGTATGGTCTAACTCTATCCATTTTCATTCTCATTCCCATTCACCCGAAAATTGTTGCAGATGCACGTCTCAAATTCATATGAGCATTACCTGTTTAATATATTGTTTTGGGAGTGTGAACAGCATGGGCTAATTCATGCTAAAGGGCATCATGTATGGTTTTAATTTGGTCTAATTTGTGCACCATTTTGTTTTGGAGATATGTTTCCAGTAGTCTGTTCTAAAGTTTATACTAAGGTAAATTGCATATTGATCGTGTCAAGTGTAACAATGCTAGAGTCCTAAATAAGTTCAAACCACTTCGAAATAACCCCGAAAAGTTTGGGTATATCTTAACGATAAAAAACTTTTGAGATGTCATATTAACATAAATTGAGAAATATGCCAGAGTTTAAACTTAATTATAGATTTTACGATGGTTATCTCAAAGTGGGTCAAGTTTTTTAGTGGTTTTATGTGAATTCTACACTTGATTTGAGTCATATAAGGGGATATGTAGTATCATGTATGATAGCTATAGACCTAATAGTACAAAAGAAGAGATGTGATTATGTATGGTGGACCTTGTCTACACAATTAGATGGCCATCATAGAAAATCACATATTACTAAGGAGAATGCAACATTGTGTGCCCATTTAATTTTAAAATTAGTGTTATCAGTAAAAGCAAAATAGACTATTAAAGTATCAATGCAAATTAACTATTAAATTTCGTAGAATTGATATATAGCTCAATACAACCATCAATTTTAAGCTCTTATCTTTGTCACTCGAGCAAGGAGCTGGTCCGATGTTGAGCGGCCCGGTCTTTTGCTTCTTGGTGCCTTCGCAGCTGCACAACTGGTAATAGTTCGGATGGAAAAAATTTCCATTGAATAACTTTTTATGATTTCTATCATATTATGATCTTTTGTTTAATTGTGCAGGTAGCTACAATAATTGCAACGTATGCACACTGGGGCTTTGCTCGCGTTAAAGTTTGTGGATGGGGACGGGCAGGAGTCTTATGGCTCTATAGCATCGTCATCTACATTCCGCTTGATATCCTTAAGTTCATGATCTGCTACAGTCTGAACGGGAAAGCTTGGTGAAGCCTCCTCGAGAACAAGGTCATTGTTGATTCTTGTGACATTTATTTTCGCTACGTTCGTGTTTTCTATTTCTCAAATAAAATTGGAAAAGTACATACAACATTCACAACAAAGAAGGATTATGGAAAAGAGCAGAGGGAGGCATAGTGGCCTCTTGCTCAGAGAATGCTTCATGGGCTTCATAAGGGTGATTTTTTCTGGCCTCTTCAATGACAAGAATAGAGAGTTGTCTAAGATTGCTGAGCAGGCGAAGAGACGAGCTGAGATGCCAAGGTAAAATTTGAGAGATCTTTCACTGATGCTCTTAATCATTCTTAAAATTTCATACCTCTAAAACTAAACTGTAGATTTTGGAGGCCAATTGAGATTAAATATTGATTGATATTCTTAACTACATTTAAATGCTTCTATACACTAGCGTACCAAATGCTAGGTGTTGTTTCTGCATGCTCCTTCGTAGTATGCTGATGGGATTTACCGGTAAAACTTTGAGAATCGAGGAAAGCTATTGAATCATGTGCAAGTAACAAGGATATATCACCATCAACTAAATGAAATTATTCATGATAGATTACACCAGTTTGTTTAATATATTTGGAGGCCAGTTATAGATCTATTATATGTAGCATGGAAACTTAAAACTTTTGGAAAATTTTGGTGAGCCTTAACAATTTTGAGATCATTCCCATGTGTTTGTATTGTTCACTAGGGAACTGATACTTATTATTATTATTATCGACTTTAAGAGATTCACAGATTTATACTTTTTCTGGGTGGCATAAAATTTGCTCATTGCAGAGGGTTGATCACGGTCTGCTGCATCATGCGACCATCTTGAAATGTTCTATTCAATATAATAGACCATGGTCACCTTATCTATAGTTCCTATCACTTTCTTTTGAGTAGATTAAGATAATTCAGATTTACGGGGATTTTCATTTTTGGCTGTTTATAGAAATTCTCATGAGATTTAAGAAAATGGGTAATTAAGAGAAGTTAGAGTAAAGGAAGTCATCGTATAATCGAATAGGGTAACCAGGTTATCAAGACAATTGAAGGATTAACCAATTGAAGGATTTAGATAGATTAGTCCTATTTGATTTGATTTCCTTCGTCATCTAAATTCAATATGTGAATTGGTTGATTTGATATTACTTGAGAGTTTTTCTTTCTTCTATAGCATTCATTGTTTTTAATTAGGAATCAAAAGAAATTTGCTAATTTTAATACATTATACAATAAGACATATCTGTAGGTGATCTGGTTCATCTCATGAATAGATTTTGTTTTTTTAGAATTGTATGTATGCATATTTTTAAAATTTGCTTGAGAGGTTGGTACAAACTACGAAGGAGGATAATGAAAGGTTTTTGCTAAAGCTCAAGAATCGAATGTAGTGGTAAGGATTAGATTTTGAATTGAGTTCTGTTTGTTGTTTATTTTTTGTTTGTTTGTTTGTTTGATTAATTGTGTAAATTTTTTGGTGTTTTTGGTGTTGGGATTAATAATCCAATGATTGAGGTCCGATTCGAGAATTTGTGGGGAATCGAGGACAAATTGTACAATTTACTAGGTCAAAAAATTTGGTGATTTTGAGTTAAAGCATGTCAAATATGTTGGTTGAGGATTAATTCAATAGTGACTTTATAAAGGGGTTTCTTTGGTTTGCTTGGAGTAATTTTATTGTGTGGTTTAGTTGGATAAAAGTTTGTTTAGACATGAAGAAAGTTGATTGTGCGTTAGTAATTGTTTGGTAATTTGTCCAATTATTGACATTGACTTGGGTAACTTGAGGATTACTAGGTAGTTTGGGTAACTTGAGGATTTCATTGTTAGCGGAATTCTTTTTTTATTTGTAGTACTATAGATCTTTTTTTACTGATGTGGGAGAATTTTATGAAATTTAGATGTTCGATATTAATAGTAATAAGTTTGTGAGTTGATTATGAGTAATATTCATGTTTGGTAAGGATAGTAATAAACTTATGGGTTGACTGTTAGTAATATTCAGTTATTAATGATTATTGGTGCATAATATTATTGTTTACTGATTACAAGTAGTTAGATTCTTATAATTAGTTTTATTAATGAATTAGCTTACACGTTTCAGAAAGTAAAGTTATAAAACAACCCGTACTTTTCACAGGCATGAAAACTTTCTTCTGCTCGTAGCTTTCTAATTTGCTTTGTAGATAGTTGTTATTGTTACCAATTTATTCTTGTCTATATATCATTATCTTTCATCAGGAAAGATAATTCAAATGGAATCCAACAAAGGTTGCAAAGATGTTCTGAATGTGAATATCTTCAAACTAACTAGATTTGGTTTTTGATGGGTATAGCATGATTGGAAAAATAAAATACAGTGTTGATTTTCACACGACAAGATTATTAGCTTTAAATTTTGGCTTAGTTATAGATCTCCCTTGCACTTAGCAAATATACAATAGAAAATTTCACTATGTTGCCATTATTCTAAAAGAAAATTTCATGTAACTATATGTGACTGACTTATTGTTTTTTGTTGGTTGAAGTGAATGGAAAGGAGACTACTACCCTTTATAAGTTCTTAAAATTAAAGAAAGAAGGTTTTTTTGGCGATGGCATCAAGTGTAATTTCACTAAATTCTTTGTGGACAAAGATGGAAAAGTCGTGGAAATATATGCACTAACAACCTCACCTTTGAAAATGGAGGTACAACTTTGACAATGTATTGTATAATTTTGCTTCACTGTTATTTGTACTTATTATTGCAACTATACTTTATCTTCCAAAAAACAATACAGAGTTTTTTGGGGTTCGCAAGAATTTAAGTGCCTTCTTTGAGGGACTATATTGCTGGTAACGCGAGTATGTGATCTCATGTAGGCATAAAGGGATGTTTCTTCTAGAAAACTTGTATATTGCTAGAAATTCATTAGCTTGTTGTTGTATGTAAGAAATATTATTTATTTTTAATTAGGGGCTGTTTGGTTCGCTATTATAAGGGGTGGAAAACTCAGAAAACCCCTTCACGTCAGATTTTTAGCTTCCACGTCAGCTTTTTTGTTTCCGTCCATTTCTTTGTGCCGCTTTGGTTCGCTCGGATGGAAGAGGGAAAACTCTGCTAAAATCGCCGCCAACTAAGATTTTTTTTCCTCTCCGATTTCCTTCCCCAACCAAGTGAAATTGATGAAAACTCTGCCACGTCAGATTTTTTTCCTTCTCTGCTTTGTTTACAAAAGTTTTCCTTTTTTTTCTATGCGAACCAAACACAAGAAAAATAAATACATTGGTTTCCTACCAATTTTTATGTGCGAACCAAAGCAAAACAATCTATTTCTTGGAAAAGTTTGGAAAACTCAAAACTTGTGTTTCTTTACATGGAATTGCATTTCTCTATATCAAGGAAACGAACCAAACAGCCCCTTATTGGCTTTCAACAGTAAAGCTATGTTTGCAAGCTATCATGTTGTTTCTTAATATGCATCACGTGCAACACACATATTGCATACTAGTAATAAATAAAATTGTAAAACCTTGCATTACTACTCGAAGTTAATAATTACGAAGTTGTCCATTAATTTTCATAGTAGTTAATGGGAGAGTTATTTTCCATCATTGATATCATATCCTGACTTAATTATGTTGAAGTCAAGAATAAAGAACAATGGGAAATCCAAACAATTCAAATTCAAAGTAACTGGACATTATAATTTAAGGATGGAGACGATAAATAGTTAATATATCACTTTAATTTATAGTTAGTTTATGGAGTCAGATTAAACTGAAGCTTGGCATTCAAGCTTGGATTAACAACTATATATTGGGTACATTGACTTGACCTATGCCAAGTCTTCTGTTTTTCATTAATAATAATCTTAGAAATTATTGTCATTGTCCCCTATCTTGTCGCTTTGAAATAAAAATATTAGGAAACAACAAGCCTAATACTTAGCCTGAGCAAATAGAAATTTTTGAAGTTTAACATTTTATATTATTTTAGAATTTAACCCTCTCTACTTTTTATTCATCACTACTATAACATCTTTTAAAATAATACTTCACCAACAGAAAATCATGAATCTCTCACTGAAAAAAGAAAATAAAACAAGGGAAACACTAGAGGCACACCCTTAAACCACACTCCCAACCACACCCCTCTTCCAGCTACAGTGTTTTTAGGGCTCACATGCTTTATTTAAAAAACCTAAAAATACTGTAGCTGGGAGAGGGGTGTGGTTAGGAGTGTGGTTTAAGGGTGTGACTCTAGTGTTTCCCATAAAACAATCCTAAATCCGCTACTGCACTGAAGTACTTGACCATTAATAAAAAAAAAGGGTTTCCTCTTCCTGCCGATGAGGTTAAGAACAAGGCGCTTAATAGGGAAGTCTTTTTATGCTTACTGATTTGGTCTAAGATTTTAAGGGCTTATTCATTTATTTATTTTTATTTTTTTCAAAGTAGTTTCTAAACTAGCTTATTCATATTTAACCGTTCGGTAACATAAAACTTATGCTACGTTGACATCCAAGTAAATGACTTTTCCACTTATACAATTTTTATAATTTTTTTCCACTTAAAACAATTTATATATATTTTTTCAAAAATGCTAAAACCCTTCAAAAACTAAACTAGCTTAAAAGCTTCATTTTTTTTTAAGATTTTAAACAGGGTGAGGAACCCTATTCATGATATGTATTATATAAAAAGAAATTATAGGTAAATATTTACATGATCATACCCAAAAGAACTGAAAAAGAGAATGAACCAGAGGAGATGTAAACATCCATGAGAGGATCTTGTCGTCACCGGATAGAGAAAATCTACTTTGTTTCCTACTCTCCTCTAAAAGACGAAAAAAAAAAAAACAGATAAAAACTCTAAAAGTTCAAAGGAGACATCCTAGGAAGCTAAAAACATCAAAATAAAGTTCTACTAGAAAGGAGAAAAAATAACACTGAGACCGGCACTAGAAGCTGCGTTGGTGAGGTGGCTTCAAAAATTGCCTCCCACTGCATCTCTCGCCCCCTCGTTTGCCGTCACCTGGAGCCCTATTTCAGCGGCAACCTTATAGAGGGAGGAAGCCTTCTTGTTGTTGTATATGCCTATCCATACTAGAGAAAAACAAGCGATGTTAGAGGCAGTCTGATGAGGGGAAGCTCTGACATTGTTGAATATGAGATTGTTCCTGCTATACCAAATCCCCCAACAACAGCATGAAAGGAGAACCTTCCATAAAATTCTAATCTTGCGATCAGTAAGAAAAGAATTGAAATCATACAACATTTTGTCCAAATTCTGAGGCCATTGTAGGCATCCAAAAAATGCCTATAAGTGTCCGTACACAGCTTGAGACGGAGAGAAGATGACGAATATCCTTATCCGAGTCTAGGAGGATTATCTGACGCCGACAAGTGTACGAACTGCAATGGCGAACCAACTGTGTTTCATACGCTCATCAGCCACCTCCAATTGGCCGTCACTCTCGTTAGTCAACTCGCACGCGTCAATAAAGGGATGTTTCTTCTAGAAAACTTGTATATTGCTAGAAATTCATTAGCTTGTTGTTGTATGTAAGAAATATTATTTATTTTTAATTAGGGGCTGTTTGGTTCGCTATTATAAGGGGTGGAAAACTCAGAAAACCCCTTCACGTCAGATTTTTAGCTTCCACGTCAGCTTTTTTGTTTCCGTCCATTTCTTTGTGCCGCTTTGGTTCGCTCGGATGGAAGAGGGAAAACTCTGCTAAAATCGCCGCCAACTAAGATTTTTTTTCCTCTCCGATTTCCTTCCCCAACCAAGTGAAATTGATGAAAACTCTGCCACGTCAGATTTTTTTCCTTCTCTGCTTTGTTTACAAAAGTTTTCCTTTTTTTTCTATGCGAACCAAACACAAGAAAAATAAATACATTGGTTTCCTACCAATTTTTATGTGCGAACCAAAGCAAAACAATCTATTTCTTGGAAAAGTTTGGAAAACTCAAAACTTGTGTTTCTTTACATGGAATTGCATTTCTCTATATCAAGGAAACGAACCAAACAGCCCCTTATTGGCTTTCAACAGTAAAGCTATGTTTGCAAGCTATCATGTTGTTTCTTAATATGCATCACGTGCAACACACATATTGCATACTAGTAATAAATAAAATTGTAAAACCTTGCATTACTACTCGAAGTTAATAATTACGAAGTTGTCCATTAATTTTCATAGTAGTTAATGGGAGAGTTATTTTCCATCATTGATATCATATCCTGACTTAATTATGTTGAAGTCAAGAATAAAGAACAATGGGAAATCCAAACAATTCAAATTCAAAGTAACTGGACATTATAATTTAAGGATGGAGACGATAAATAGTTAATATATCACTTTAATTTATAGTTAGTTTATGGAGTCAGATTAAACTGAAGCTTGGCATTCAAGCTTGGATTAACAACTATATATTGGGTACATTGACTTGACCTATGCCAAGTCTTCTGTTTTTCATTAATAATAATCTTAGAAATTATTGTCATTGTCCCCTATCTTGTCGCTTTGAAATAAAAATATTAGGAAACAACAAGCCTAATACTTAGCCTGAGCAAATAGAAATTTTTGAAGTTTAACATTTTATATTATTTTAGAATTTAACCCTCTCTACTTTTTATTCATCACTACTATAACATCTTTTAAAATAATACTTCACCAACAGAAAATCATGAATCTCTCACTGAAAAAAGAAAATAAAACAAGGGAAACACTAGAGGCACACCCTTAAACCACACTCCCAACCACACCCCTCTTCCAGCTACAGTGTTTTTAGGGCTCACATGCTTTATTTAAAAAACCTAAAAATACTGTAGCTGGGAGAGGGGTGTGGTTAGGAGTGTGGTTTAAGGGTGTGACTCTAGTGTTTCCCATAAAACAATCCTAAATCCGCTACTGCACTGAAGTACTTGACCATTAATAAAAAAAAAGGGTTTCCTCTTCCTGCCGATGAGGTTAAGAACAAGGCGCTTAATAGGGAAGTCTTTTTATGCTTACTGATTTGGTCTAAGATTTTAAGGGCTTATTCATTTATTTATTTTTATTTTTTTCAAAGTAGTTTCTAAACTAGCTTATTCATATTTAACCGTTCGGTAACATAAAACTTATGCTACGTTGACATCCAAGTAAATGACTTTTCCACTTATACAATTTTTATAATTTTTTTCCACTTAAAACAATTTATATATATTTTTTCAAAAATGCTAAAACCCTTCAAAAACTAAACTAGCTTAAAAGCTTCATTTTTTTTTAAGATTTTAAACAGGGTGAGGAACCCTATTCATGATATGTATTATATAAAAAGAAATTATAGGTAAATATTTACATGATCATACCCAAAAGAACTGAAAAAGAGAATGAACCAGAGGAGATGTAAACATCCATGAGAGGATCTTGTCGTCACCGGATAGAGAAAATCTACTTTGTTTCCTACTCTCCTCTAAAAGACGAAAAAAAAAAAAACAGATAAAAACTCTAAAAGTTCAAAGGAGACATCCTAGGAAGCTAAAAACATCAAAATAAAGTTCTACTAGAAAGGAGAAAAAATAACACTGAGACCGGCACTAGAAGCTGCGTTGGTGAGGTGGCTTCAAAAATTGCCTCCCACTGCATCTCTCGCCCCCTCGTTTGCCGTCACCTGGAGCCCTATTTCAGCGGCAACCTTATAGAGGGAGGAAGCCTTCTTGTTGTTGTATATGCCTATCCATACTAGAGAAAAACAAGCGATGTTAGAGGCAGTCTGATGAGGGGAAGCTCTGACATTGTTGAATATGAGATTGTTCCTGCTATACCAAATCCCCCAACAACAGCATGAAAGGAGAACCTTCCATAAAATT